AACCACTGCACTGTTCATGCGGGGAGGGCAGATTTAACTTCTGCCATATCCCACCACAGCCCCCACCAGCCAGACCACACTCCTCCACCGACACACCGACAGGTGGAGAGAGCTTGATGGCGTGTTGGCGAGTCAGCTTCTCTAAACCAGCGCAGCGTCCACGGAACGCCATGCCGGGCGGCGTGACTGCAGCTGCAGCCGCTAGACAAACAATTAGACAAACAATTCACCAGTGCAACCAAACAACACCACCAAAAAACAACAAAGTCGGTGAAATGATGCACAAAGACATAAACTATCACCCAGAGAAAAGTGAATTGTTAACAATGGTTTGAAAAGTTGTAAACTTTAAACGATCGCTCTCCGCTATACTCACCGGTCCACTCACAATCAGAGAGAGAGAGAGAGAAAAAGAGATGCCTCGTTTATTTCCCCTGTGTTATTATCAGAAGTTACTGGAAACTTTTGAATAATGTAGTTCATCTACTTTAATACTTTGTTTAAATGTTTTATTTATGTTGTTTTTGTTTGTAGAAGTGCATCATTCCTTGATTTATTGTAAAATGAATCTGAACTTTTTGATCTGTTATGATGATAAACTGAAGCCATTTCTAAATTAACCCAATTAACTGAGTTTTAAATCGTCCTGCTTAGTTTATAAGGAAATTATGAAGAGGAAAAAATTAAATGGTTTGAAAATGATATCTATGTAGGTGCTGACGCTGTTGGCGGTAGTGTTAACAGACATTTAAATTAAATATGTGTAATGGCAAATGCCATATATGATTTTCTTACCTGGAATTCTGCCTTTTTGAACAGACTTTTTGAGTCCTAGCTATATTTTCTACAGTTCTGGGGTTAATATGAATCTAATATGATTGTCATCGGTCTAAATTAGATTTCAAATGATTAACTGTGTATGTAATGAAGATCATAGTGTGGGTTGAATCCATTTTCATAACCATTGTCTTTTAACTGATTTAAATGCGGAAACTGGGCTTATTCATCCGAATTTCGTATGACTTGACTTGACTTGCTTGACCTGAGCAATGACTTGACTTGACTTGCTTGACTCTCACGACAGTAAGCAGATGAATGAACCGAGACAAAGTATTAAAGCAAAGGAAAAAGTAAATATAACTTGTTTGTATTAGATTGCATACGTGGACCAGTATGCATGCACTGCCAAAGAGAAACAACTTCTTCAAATCATGCCAACCTGGCATACTACAGTATGACCTTGCTGTAGAGGAGTTCTGTCTCTTCCGTCCCTAATGAAACTAAATGAAACCAATACGGTCAGCCAACGATTACAAAGAGCAGAATTACAACTTGCCTTCAGTGAGAGTGAGGATGATTCAAAGGTGTCTGCTGTGTCCATAACGGCCTGCTCCTAACTCAGTCGTATGAGTCTTTAAAGGGGCCCTATTCAGCTGATGTTCGGGTTCATATTAGCATTTAGTGTCTCTACTGGGACATGGCTCCATGCTTTAATGTTCAAAAAGCTGATTGGTTAGCTGGCCGGCCCTGTTGTGATTGGTCAACCGCTAAGAGAGGTCCCACCCTTATAATATCATGTACAATGTGTCGCCAATGGAGGCGTTTTAGGCAGGGGGGGAGAAAACTCCCTCTGGAGGGAACACAGAGATTTCAGCCTTTGCATACCATTTACATGTAGCCTACTAAAACATACACATTAAAACACAGTATAGGAGAGGGTACACCCCAAAAAGCAGAATAGGGCCTCTTTGAACACATGCAATGCCTTCGAGGCTAAAAGAGGTCAGCGCGTAGATGCTGAGTATACATTCTGCTTTATACAGGAAGTTATTTTTTCACATTTCTTGTTTCTTTCTTTCAGAATAAAGAGAGAGAACGCATGAGGGAGCGAGAGAAAGCAGCGAGGGAGAGGGAGGCTCGCTATAGCAACGGTCACCTGTTCACCTCTCTGACCGTGTCAGGGAACACGCTGTGCTCAGCATGCAACAAGAGCATCACTGCCAAGGAGGCGCTCAGCTGCCCCAGTAAGTCACAGTTACTGCACTTCAAGAAATATACACTGAGAGGTGGGTAGAGAGGCAAAAGAACAGGGAAAGTATTCAAGAAAAAGTCCTGCCCGTGAGAAATGTGCATACAACTTATCCCCGAGAACACACACACACACACCACACACACACCACACAACACACACACACACACACACAGCACACACACACACACACACACACACACACACACACACACACACACACACTCCCTCTCTCTCTCTCTCTCACCCACACACACACACACACACACACACACACACACACACACACACACACACACACACTCTGTTCACTGAGTCGAGGCTGTTCACACTTCATTGGTTGTGCATAAAACATTTCACTTTCAAAATCTGTTTGCACACACTACTTTAAACCACATGTATATCTCTGCAGTTGGCATTAGACTGTTGAGGTCTTTAACAAATGATTATGGGGGCTGTATGAACATCTTTAGGTTAGATGACAGGTAGCCTGTTTCACCGATGGAAGATTGTTAAGTTGACTTGTGATTTTGGTTTTAAGTTACTGTAAGTATTGGTTGTAATCAGCTGTGATTGACAGACCATACATTTTGAGTAAGGGAAGTAAAATAAGACTTTTTTCTCCCTGCTCCTTTCCATCATCGGCTAAAAACTGCTTTAAGTGTAGATGTTTTGTTTAATAATAATTCAGTGGAATAAAAGTAACTAAAAACTAAAAGGTTTTCTACTAGCTTCTTCAACAAGATGTAACAAATAGTGTTTTGTTCTTTATGTTACCTCTGTTCTTCCTTAGCATGCAACGTCACTATCCACAATCGCTGTCGAGACGCTTTGCCAAACTGCGCCAAAATGAAACAGAGGGTAAGACAAAGGCTCCACCACTGATCCTCAGCTCTCATAATTGACAGATCTTATACATACGTTTTAAAGGTTTATTATTTACGCTCATATTTAGCGAGTCATTTGAAGACCAAGATCACATATTTGTTCATCAATAAAAAATGCTAGTTCTAGATTGTGACACATGTCCACTGTTACTCTTGGGACCAAGAGTAAATATACAACACAAAAACATTTTACAGAATGTAAAGGAAAGACTATAAAGCAGTTATACCAATATTAGACAGAAACAGAGAATACATCTTAAAAAGCGATGTTGACAAGGAGCAAACTTGATTCATAAACTATATTTCCCGGTTCCTTTTGTGTCCATCATTCAGGTTTTAATGTGAAAGAGATGTACTGACTTTTTTCCCCTTAAAAAAAATCAACCATAGATGAGATGTTTTAACAAGATACTACTGAGGTTACAATTGAATATATGGATATTTACTTCAGTGAACAATTGAATCATTGCATATCTTAAACTGTAACCATTTTGAAAATTGAGTATGCTATTTTACATGTTCATACTGATCAATTCCTTTGTCTAAAACAGCAACAGAAGACGGCCCTAATGCGGAACAGCTCAGCCTTGCAGACTGTCACGCTGCGCACAAAAAGTGAGAGCTCTTCACACACTCAGATGTATTCAGTCTCCTTCCACCACCTCATGTAGTTCTATTTTTATCTGTTCCTCCTTTCCTGCATTTTATTCTCTTCTTCTTCAAAACGTTGTTCATTTTCTCCCTATTAAACGGCTCTCAACATATCCAACAATCATTTATTGGCATTCTGCAACACATTCATGATTAGATTAATGACGTTCAAGTTTTTAAAATATTCTTCAGGAGGAATGTAACAGCAACAACCAAAAATGGTAAATGATCTTGGAAGAAAAAACATCCGTCATCTTTATCATTAGAAATTCAACATCAGGGAAACTGCACTAAGCATCCTTGATGTTATCCCTCCTCCTCTCCTCCACCCACTCAATCCCTCCTACTCCTGTTTGCTCTTCTTCCTCCTAAACACGGTTCTGGCTGTCACTATGCTCCTCTTCCTCCTCCTCTATGTCTTTCCCTCGTCACTCTCCCTCATGGTGCTCTCCCTCCTCTACCTGCAACATTTCCTCCGTAGCTCCAGGAATGCGCGAGCGTCCCACCTCAGCCATCTACCCCTCAGAGAGCTTCAGACAGACCCTGCTGGGGTCCCGCCGGGGTCGCTCCGGCCTGTCCCTGTCCAAGAGTGTGTCCACCAACAATATCGCAGGGTGAGCCTCACTTTCATTGGCCAATGCTATATTAACATATCAAATGCAACCCTAAGGCACATCTCTCTGGCCTTACTGAGGCGTAGGGATCTACCCATGGGTTTGGGTCTAACCTCTACCCCAGGGGTGTCAAACTCAATTTAATCGCAGGCCACATCAGCATTAGGGCTGCACTCAAAGGGCCGGTTGTAACATTAAGACTATATAAATACATATATAAATAAATATATAAAACAATGTATTATATTACATTATTGCCTCTGCATTGGATTATTATCAGATAGGGTAATAACTTCATAATTAACTACGTCTGAAAGCAGAAGTCTGGGTCAAATAATTGCAAGTCTCTTCAGTGAGAATGAAACAAAATGATTT